CGAAAGAAATAAAAAAAACTGCTGCAACACTTTGCTCTCAAACTTAGATTTCCGATTCAAATACACAGCTTTGATCAGATATTTTTCAACCCCAACATCACAACTTAAGACCAAGCCACAAACTACACCACCACCATGATCCAAACAAGCAAGAAACTTAGAAAGATATCATGAACAATTCTGGAAAAATATACAAGATTGATTCAGCAACTTGGTTGCTTATTTTTCCAGCAAGTATTTGAACATGATTCAAACATTTCAGCCCCCCAAACATGCACACCCAACACCCCCTTATCCAATTCCTCTCAAACAGTACTCCAACACCCCAAACATGCAAACCCAACTAGCAAAAACGGATGGCCGAAACTTGTATGAACAGGTGCAGGAAAGAAAACAGTAAAAGAATGCGGAAGCTTTTCTCTGCCACAACTAAAAATCTGAATCAAACATCATTCTCTAATTTCAAGCAACAAAATTTACAGCAGTTTTACATTTACACACACATACAGGATCCTTCTGCAGCAAATTCAACACAATTCTGCTCATGCGAATACCTTCAAACCAAACCCACTGATTTATTAAACAAACCCCTGTAATGGATTCAGCCCTTTTTTAAACATATTACCCAGGCAATATTGCCCAATTCCAGAAAATTCAACCATACTACTGACCATGAAAACGCAGAAACGAAAGAAAGGGAAACAAACTTGCGGTAAAACTGAAACTGGGTCCATTGAAAGTCCCTGCTTTCCTAGCTAACCCATCTAGTCATTGAACATCAAACTACCCTGAAGCCTTTTAATGCATTTGAATCAACCAAAATGAATTTATTCGAAGCATCAGGAACCGCAAAGGGGAATAACAGACCCACGCACAAAGAACACAAGGGAAAAAAAACTGATGTAATGAATTCTGATCTTCACCAAACTATGTTAAAATGGCAGGAAAATAAACTGGGGTTACCTGATAACTCTCGCATGACCAATTGAACGTGAGCTACGCCTGGAAACACAATCTGACTCCAAGAACGAAACCATGAACTTTTGCATCCGAAAATTACAGCGACAGTGAAGTCGTCCCTTTGTGGCCAAATTTGATTGGCTTCCTGTGGTTTTCCTTCAAGACATCTGAACAAAAATCGCTCCTCTCGCATTGTAGATTGAGCAGAAATTGATAGCTTCACGAATGAAGCTGAGTTGAGGAAGAGAATCCTTGTGCAAATAGGCTGAAAGGTCAGCCTCATGGTGGGTTTCGCCGAGGAAGTCCCTGCGTTTTTCTGGTCTTTCTTGTCGAAGCTCTTCCTTCTGGTTCAGATCTTCTTCCTTCCTTGCTGCCCAGATTCTTCCTAGACCCCTCAGCCGTTAGCTCTCCTCTCTTTGCTCACTTCCAGAAATTTTCCTTGCCGTTCTCCTTTTTCCTCACTCAACCAGCCGTGATTTCTCCCTCTCTGGTTTTTCTTTTCATAGCCGTCCCAGAACCTCTCTAGCCGTCCCCTCCAGAACCTAGTCGCTACTTCATTCCCTTCAGCCCCCCTTGCAGTCTGCTCTCTTGTTTCTTTTTCTCTTGCCCGAAGCCCTTACCCCCTTTCCTAGATTTGCAGCCGTCACTCTCTTCTCTGTTTTCTGTTTTCTTTTTCTTTTCCCAGACTTACAGCCGCCATGCTCTATCCCCGTATGCTCCATTTGCCCAGCCGTCCATCTCTTTCCTTTTATACGGGAATCATCACCCTAAACCCTTTTGTCCTTTCTTCTATATTTGCAGCCAAGGGCTGCCTTGAGCCCTTCCTTGCACGCAGCTTGTATGCCGCGACAAAACGCAGCTTGTATGCCGCAAGCCTTTTTTTTTTAGATTAATTTAAATCACAATAAAAATAATAATAATTCAAACAAGTTTAAACTTAAATAAAATGTACAAAATTAATAACCAAAAGATAAAAATAAAAAGCTAAGATTTTCCTCTTTTTCTTTTCTTCTTTTTCCTTTTTTTAAATTTTTCAATTTTTCATTTTTTTATTTTCATTTTTAAATAATGAAACTAAATCTAAAACAACTAAAACATTTTTTTTTGAACGCTTTTCTTTTTGTTTTGAGAAATTCTACGCTAAAATGGCTAAAATAACTAAAACTAAAAGTAAATAAAACTAAATGTGACAAATAAAAATAGAACAAATAAAAACGAATAGTAAATAAATAAATAAATAATAAAACACCAAAAATTTGGTGTCTACTTTACCCAAATTGCATCATGGCCTCTTTGTGTCTTCGGTAATCCTGATACAAAATCCATAGTGATATTTTTCCATTTTCATTCAAGTATCTCCAAAGGTTGTAAAAGTACAGCTGGTCTTTGAAGTTCAGGTTTAACCTGTTGACAAATTAAACATGTTTGGATAAATTGAGCAATTTCTCTTTTCATATTTTTCCACCAATACAGACTCTTCAAATCTTGGTACATTTTATTCCCTCAACGATGTACCGTAAATTTCGATCGGTGTGTCTCTTTTAAAATCTCCTTCTTAAGTTCCTCATCGTTTGGCACCACTATCCGATTCCGCAACTTCAAAATACCATTCGTTCCCAGGTTAAAATCTGACTTTTTTCTTTTTCCAACTTTTTCTGACCATTTTTGCACTTCAATGTCCTCTTCTTGAGATTCTTTGATACGCTTCAACAAAGTGGAATTTATTACAATGTTTCCTAGGATTACTTTCCTCGGTTCCAATCGAGAATTCCAATAGCTAACTGTTTCCAGCAAATGGAGTTCGTTAATCATCAACCCAACCATTTGCGCTTGACGATTCAAAGCATCGGCCACTACATTGGCCTTTCCTGGATGGTACTTTATCATGCAATCATAAGCTCCCAAAATTTCTATCCATCTACGTTGCCTCAAATTCAGGTTCTTTTGAGAAAACAGATACTTAAGACTTTTGTGATCAGTAAAAATCTCGAATGTCACTCCATATAGGTAATGTCTCCAATTCTTTAAAGCAAATATCACCGCTGCCAATTCCAAGTCATGGGTCGGGTAATTCCCCTCATGCAGTTTTAATTTCCTAGAGACGTATGCTATCACCTTATAATTTTGCATCAAAACACATCCCAATCCTTCCTTAGAGGCATCTGTGTAAACCACAAAACTATCCTTCCCATTGGGTAGAGCTAACACTGGGGTTTTGGTTAAGCATCTTTTGAACTCTTGGAAACTCTCTTCGCACTTAGAACTCCAAAATAACTTCCCATTCTTCTTGGTTAACTCAGTCATTGGTCCAGCAATTCTAGAAAAATTTTTAATAAATCCCCGATAATACCCTGCTAATCCAATAAAGTTTCGAACCTCAGTAGGCTTTTCCGATCGTTTCCACTTTGAAACAGCTTCGACTTTGGCCGGGTCTACTTTAATCCCATCCTTAGAAATTATGTGCTCCAAAAACGTCACTTCCTTCAACCAAAATTCACACTTGCTAAATTTAGCATATAATTGGTATTCCCTCAAAGTTTGCAAAACAATCCTCAAGTGCTTCTCATGATCCTCCACATTCTTAGAATATTCTAAAATATCATCAGTAAAGACTACCACAAATTGGTCCAGATAAGGTTTAAAAACCGTATACATTAAATCCATGAAAACAGCAGGTGCATTGGTCAGTCCAAATGGCATCACTGCAAACTCAAAGTGTCCATACCTCGAGTTAAAAGTAGTCTTGCGTATGTCTTTCTCCAAAATCCTCAATTGGTAACAACCTTGTCTCAAATCCAAATTCGAAAATACTACCGCCCCTTGCAATTGGTCAAATAATTCATCAATGTGGGGCAATGGGTACTTATTCTTAATTGTGACATCATTCAAATCTCTATAGTCTATACACAGTTTTAAACTCCCATCTTTGTCCTTAACAAACAAGATTGGGGCTCCCCACGGTGAATCGCTCTCTTTTATAAAACGCCATTCCAACAAGTTCTGCAATTGCAATTTCAATTCCTTCAATTCCGCTGGTGCAATCCGATATGGTGACTTAGAAATAGGTGCTACTCCCGGAGTCACATCAATCTTAAAAGTTATTTCCCGTTCCGGGGGCAAAAACTCTAATTCTTTAGGAAAAACATCTGGAAAGTCTTTCACTACAGGCACGTCCTCCAAATTCACCTTATCTCTAGGAGTGTTGATTAAAATGGCCAAATACCCTTTAGCTCCTTTACTTAATAATTTTCTAACCCGAATCGCTGAGATAAGTGCGGACGAAACCAATTTACCCCTTACATCCAACTTCAAGGTTGCCTCCCCTGGAATGCACAATTGTACAATTTTTGTTCGGCAGTTTAACTGGGCATTATAACGGGCTAGCCAATCCATTCCTAAAATCACATCATATCCCTTAATTGCTAAACTTATCAGGTCCGCCAATATTTTTCGCTCCCCAATACAGATTTCACAATCTCTATACACCAGGTTAGCAATTAAACTTTGATCTTCAGTGGGTGTTTTAAGCTCCAAATCATACGGTAACTTAATTGGGTTCAAATCTGTCACACTCATAAAATTAGGGTTTACAAAAGAATGAGTTGCACCCGAATCAATTAAAACTCTAGCTAAACGATGAAAGATTGGAATTGTACCTTCAACCACTTCAGTCGCTTCAGAGATTTGTTAATGATCCAGCACATAAACTCTAGTCAAAACCTTAGGTCGAATTCCTCCCGCATTGGTCTGTTTAGAGGTTGACTTCTCGAGTTTTTGGGTGTTACCTCCCACTTTCATCTTACTTGGACAAGTCGCGAGTTGATGTTTGGTGCTGCCACAAGCCAAACACTTCCCAGACTTTCTCCAACAATCATTCTCAAAGTGGTTAGATTTACCACAGTACCCACATGTGACTTGAGGGGTCACGGCAGAACCACTAGATTAACCACTGGTCCACTATGTCCTCCTCTGGATAAAGCTCCCCTAGAAGATTCAGTAGTCCTTATTCCTCCCATTCCTCTTCCAATTTTAGAAGGCTGTCAACTCTTACTAGTCTGTCCAGAAGTATGACTAGAAAAGTTCCTCTTCCCATTGTGAAAGTCTTTAACTTGCATTCTTGCACTTTCTACCTGTTGCGCTTTCTCTAAAGGCTCAGTAAAGGTAGAAATTTGGGCTGCTGCCAATCCCTCCTGAAATTTCACATTAAGTCCCTGCATGAACCGCTTTATTCTCTTCCGTTCATTGACTACTAGCTCAGGAGCATACTTAGAAAGCTTAGTGAATTTTCCTGCATACTCTACCACACTAAGGGCTTCTTGTTTCAACTTGATAAATTCATCCTCTCTCTTTTCTTGAATCAAGGGTGGCAGGAACTTTTCAGTAAACTCACTCGTGAAATTCTCCCAAGTCCAAGAGGTTTGAGTTCTTTTCCATTTTCTTTTTATCAGATCCCACCAAGCACGGGCTACTCTCTCAAATTGAAAGGCAGCAAAATTCACTCACCTATCCTCAGAATAGTCTAGAGCAGTGAATATATTGGTCATCCTCTCTAACCAATTCTCCGCTGTTTCAGGATCAGGTTCTCCAAGAAACTTAGGTGGGTTGAACTTTAAGAACTTCTCTAAGGCTCTATCCTCTCCTTTTTCCTGACCCCCAGGTTGGTTGAACGATCCAGAGCCTTGTCTATCAGCTAAGCGCTCTAGGATATCAGTCATCCTATTAATGGCAGTATCCACTTAATTACCCTCAATATTTTCCTGATCTTGGGTTGGTCCAGTTGTCGATCCCTAGTCATTCCTTTGAGGTTAGGTTTGTCTAGTCCCTCGCCCACGACCTCGACCACCTGTTAGTCCTTCCATAACTTAGGCGTGTCCAGAGCCTTGTCTATCAGCTAAGCGCTCTAGGATATCAGTCATCCTATTAATGGCAGTATCCACTTGATTACCCTCAATATTTTCCTGATCTTGGGTCGGTCCAGTTGCCGATCCCTAGTTATTCCTTTGAGGTTAGGCCTGTCTAGTCCCTCGCACACGACCTCGACCACCTGTTAGTCCTTCCATAACCTAGGTGTGTCTAGTGCAATAAATAAATAAATTATGCGATGCAAAGTAGAAAGCAGGAACCAATCAAAAAATATTGGAAATAATAATAATTTACATTTATTAGCATGTTAAGTTTATACAATTAGCAAGTCATGGAGTAGTCACAAAAATATAGCACACAGGTGCCTCAAAAGTACTTTTAGCCATGGAAGACTAAAGTAAAAACAAGTGCCTCAAAAGTAGGCCACACAGTAATGCAAAATACAATGGGCTCAGCACTTAGTGTCACCCCAACTAATTCTAACTATACTAGTCAAAAGAGTCAATCGCTAGGCACTTAGTCCACAGTAGGACTACCAGGCAGAATCTCCTCCTCCGGATCCTCCTCCTCCTCAGGGCTCTGGACTATCTCCATCGCTTCATCCACTAGCCTAGTAGCATCAGTCAAGATATTGGAAGCCCGACTACGGACCTTCTCTCTCAACATAGTAAGTCGAGTTCTAGTACTCTGAAGTTCCTCACGAACCATAGCAGATGTGACCACCTCGCTCTCGAGTACCTCTTCGAGCTCCACAATGCTCTCTCCTTGAGCGCTAATCATCTGTCTAAACTCGTCCACCTCGGCCTGTAAATCCCGATTAAGATCCACTAACTGACAACGCTCGTCGTCCCAAGCAAGCACGAGGTAGTTCAGGTAGGCGAAGGTCAACCTACACGAACATCGGGGATATCTGTCAGATAGGGAATAGTGTACTCTAACTCCTCCACCTAGAGCTCGGTAGAAGATGGGTCTATGAGGCACTACATGACCATTCGCATGGCCATTCCCGTCAGCTGCCGGAACTCCATTTTCGTTTTTCATCCCTGCAAAATAATAGCACTTTTCGGGTTAGAAATTAAACCACTATCCAGTTCGGATGCAGTTTATGCATGCCTAACCCAATCACTAGTATGACCCAAATACCTTTTAAGGTATAACTTAATTATCCGGTCTCAAGTCTTAAGGGTAGAGTATCTAATATGTCTCCCATATAAATCTCTAACCTAGCGCTCTGATACCAACTGTGACGCCCCCACTTCTCCCTAAGACGAATCAAAGGGTATCCGCGGGACGCCTGCCCAACTCTCGCCAGGACTCAAGCAATTTCTATTCAACCTTATAGCGGTACTAGAAATCTAGAACCGGAACAAATACATACAAATAGTTCGGAAACGTTCAAGTTTAGTGGTCGATAACAAGCACCCAATTCTTACATCGGATTTCCATAATACAGTCCAAAAATATACAATATCCAAAAGTCTAGATAAAAGAGTTGGAACCCTATTACATAAGTACACAAAAGAGAAATTCCTCCGAATCTCATTCCAAACCCAACCTGTTAAGGAAAATAAATCTACAGGGTGAGCAAAACGCTCGTGAGGCCAAAAACACACATGCAAGCACATTATTCAAGTAACAATCCCAATTCAACAAGTAAAGCAACAATATTGCAATATATAACAATTCGAGCGGAAAGTAAACAGAAACAATTCAAGGACATCGGAGCTCTCAGGAGCTAATTTCCACTTGCTTTGCCAATGTCATTCGTATACCTTCCCGCGATGACACTCCGTCAACCGAGTCGGTATTTTCATTCCGTAGATCACCACTTACTTCCATCCGTCCACCGTACATACCCCCACCGAGCCCGAACGTCATTTATAAGGTGATACTTCAACGAGTATACCAAACAAGATCTCTTCTATAGATCAAGTTTATCAGGTAATTCTTATGGCTCACCAAGATTCCCGACCAACCTCATGCCGGCTCGAGTCCAAGGTTTGCCTATAAGTTTGGGCGTCCCCCAGTTAACATTTATAAGTCGAGGAGATTCACTCCAGCGACGTATGCAGCGATAGCATACCATTACATTTCAGTCATTCATTCAATACATTTCAGTCATTCATAATTCATTCGTTTCATTTTAATCATGGGTCATTCATTTCAAATAAGAACGAGTGCGGTAAAGTACACACTCACCTTCATTTTTAAAATCTCCAAACAATTACAACAATTAAGCATGTATCAAGTATTCATACACTTGACACTCACCAAATAACAATAGTAAGTAGATTCAATTAAAGTTCAAGCGTCCACCGTGGGGTCATCTGGAAGGTCCTCGTGTGCGCCTGAGCAAATAATAATAGACCATCATTTTCAAACCCCTACTATTAAAGAAGATCGTACCATAGTACAATCTTAGAAAGTCTCGTGAAACAAGCCTTATTTATCCTAAATCAAGGCTCTCAAGTGGGGTTTCAAAGTACAAGAGAAATTTAGTTTCCATCCTGGAAATCAAGTATAAAATGTTCAAGTAATATCGAAGGAATAAGGAGTACTTGAAAAACTCTATTTCCTTGAAATTCGGAAAATTTCAGTGTTGATACGATATTTTGAAAAATCGTATCTCACATTCCACATGTCGAAAATCGGAAAACTTGGTACCGTTGGAAATCTCTTCCAAGTTGCTAAAAGTTCCTAGAATACACTTTTCTAAGATTCCAAATGAAAAACATTGAAAAATGAGCTCAAAGTCACTGTTTTGGTTCATAAGGCAGATTTAAGTTGGTTTTTGGCCAACTTTGAAAATTCGACAAAATTCACTTGATTGGAACTAGCCTTTAAAATTTGGAACCCTATTAGAGTCGCAATCCAAGTTTACAACAAAATAAGTGGAATGAGAAACGGAGTTTTGAGCACTAAGATATGGTAGCTCAAAATTACCCAAATTTCCTTGTTAAACATTTTCCAAAATCAAGTCACGAACTTTGGAAGTTTAGTTGAGCAATGAAACGGCCTCAGAACAATACCAAAATTAGCAGTATAATACTACCATATAAGGGTTGTTCCTCTACCAAATTTCATGGAAAAATAGCTTCGGGAAGGTAGTCAACCAAACAACCAAAGTTTCGAAAAATCCTAAGGTAAAACTGCCTTGAGCTTTTTGTTTTCCATTCCAAACATTTGGCCAAGGAAAATCCTTCAAACATGGTTCATTTGTGTAGGAAAAGCCTAAAGAACATTCATGGTACATTTGGTAAGCATTTTAACTCCAAGAAATTTAATTGTCAAGTCCACACCAAGTCTAGCATCAATTCTGCTCAAAATTTAAGGTTTTCAAGAACAGGGTAGGTTTTGCATTTTGATCACAAATCACTCAATTCAACTCGGAATTGAGCATAGTTGGTGACGTTGGAAAACACATTCATAAAACTATAATTTCACAGAAGAAATCATTATGAAATTCAGCACACAACTAGCTCAAATTCGAGCCTCAAGTTGTAGCTTCTGAACTTCATTCCAGGAAAACAGAGAAACAGAACAGTCATCTTTAAATGGTTGGTACGGAATACTCGGGTCGAATTACGAGTTACATTTTATTCTGTTAGAAATCTGGGAATATCTAGTTTCAAATACCACTAACGGCACTTGATTTCAACATCGGAACACAAAGTTATGGCCGAAACAAGAAGGCTGTCGGAGCATTACGGGAAAATTTTTCCAGGTTTGCTAGCTGTGTGAGATTAATCCATTTGACCAAACCAACCTCAATATTTTTCGATGAAACTTTATACACCATCTATAAAATATATAAACATCGTATACAAACCATTAAAACTTCAAAATTCAGCAAAAAGAGGCACGATCATAACAGGGGCAGAATTGAAAACTTTACATCCATGCACTCCTTGAAGTTTATACTAGTTATGCACCATTAATCTACCAATTTGAGTACTAAACCAACATTAAATCCATCATCAAGCATCACATCAGCCATCAATCCTAGAGTGGGAGTTCATAGAGCCCACATTCAAAATTTTCCAATAATAACAAGCCACCCACATGAATATCTAGGCTCATAAGTGTAAATCAACTTCCATATGCCAAGAATTTGAGGATTGATTGTCACTTACTTATATTGGCGAACAAGACAGAATTTTCAGCCATTCTTGCTTCAAAATGAACCGTGAAAAACTCCCCCATTTTAGCTAGATACAATCCCCAAGTGTTCAACTAGGTGTAGTTCAATTTTGGTTTGATTTGGTTGAGATTTGGTGCAAGAATTTGGAGTAGAAAGTGATGGAGCAAGGCTGGTTCTTTTCTTTCCCTTGGCCAGCTGTTCTTGGAGTGAGGAGAGAGAGTGTTTGTTCAAATAAAGCTTTCTTAAGAACCTTTAATGTGTGGCCCAAGTTGGTTCAAAGGTCAACTTTTCAATAGCGCGTGTACGCGGGCGTTTTGTGCTCGATTCCTCTCGCGTTTATTTTACTAGTGCACTAAACCTTTAATGCACTCATATTCATATAAATATTATCCACTCTTAATCATCCCAAAATGAGGGTCTAAAGTCTCTAGATTAAATTGCGTGTGTGAAAATGCGTACTTCCAAATTAAGCGCGATAAAGCTAGACCTCCAAAAAATTCCTATAACGATAGTACTACTAACTATCACTTGAGTACTTAAACATAAAATTATCTATTTTAGGACCATTGTACAAGTCTCCAATTTTCCAAGCGTATTATATCCTCGATTCGATTATTTACTCCAATCGCGTATTCACTATTTTGACTTAACGAGCCTTCAAAAATTAAATTTTAAAAATGTAACTAAGCCATAGATCCCTTTAATTAGGTC